GGCAGATACAAATGGAGTAAGAAGAGGGCGGCTGTGTTGATAAAGGTCCCTGGCTCACCAGAGTTTACAGTGCATCATCCCTTTATCCTCTTGGTGGGAGTGGGGGAAGGGGAGGATTGGACTGCGTTTTGAGTCCTGTGCTACATTATTATGCCTCTCTTTACCTTTCTTCTTTGCTATCAGCTGCTACATAACTCTTTATTAATTTCAGATTTGGGGAACTGGCTCTCCTGATCCCACCATTTCTATCATTGGCTGGCATGATCTGGCCTCTCAATTTCTTGATTTCCACATTCTCCCCAGCGACCCTTTCCTCCACTCTACCTCAGCTATTCACTTCCAGTGTCACAAAACAGGATGTCCACACCTGAAAGTCCACTTTAATATCTGAAATTCAGATACCTATTGTCTCTCCCCAAGCTTCTCTCTACTTAGCCTGTTGTTTGCTCGGTTACTCTCACCAAACCTATTCTTCCACTCTTTCAAAACTTTACACCAGGTACCTCCTGTCTTTGTTTTGTTTCCCATTCTGGTTAGTATATATGGCCACACATGTCAATCACTCAACACTCTGTTGTCACCATCTTGCAGGCTCATGGGCTTTTCTGCCTTGCGCACCTATTTGGAAAATTCCCATCCTGCATTAATAAAATGATTTGAATTTTCCAGCTGGAAAGCTTCTGCAGAAAACCATGCAGCCCTCTAAATACTCATATTCATCAACCTTAATAACCTCTCAGTAACGCGGAGCAATCCCACTACATTTCTCTAGTTATTCTTTTTCATTCAAGGCAATGATCATTTTAATGATTCTTTACTCAGCTCAGCCCTATGACTTCATCCTTTCCCGTTATTCTCAATAGTAACTTACTTCATACAAATGACATTCTGCCACCAAACCAATAAAGCCTTTTACATTAGGATCCCTCCTTTCCTCTTTCTCTTCTGCTACAATGGAAGTGATATCCCTTTTCCATTTTAAGGCCATTCTCTGTGCTAGATTGCTAGATCTCATCTCTGAATATTTTCTCAGGAATTTTACACTACAATTTTTTTTAAAAAAATCATGTTCTAATTATTCAACATCTTTTCCCATATGAACTCCTATTTATCTCTTTAATTTTACAGCCAAGTTTGGAAAGCACTGTCTGCACTTATTAATCCTATTTCTCTATGATCACTTAACACCTTTCTTCAATGTGGATTTTGCCCCACTCCTCTATCAAAACTCTGTTGCAATGGCTACCAATGATGTTATTGTTTTCCAATTCAAGAGATACTTCATAATATTCATCTTGCTGCATTTTTAGCACCTTGATGAAATGTTTTCTTCTTCTCCTGGCTTCCTGGATGCCCCACTCCCCATGTTTTTCTCCTGCTTCTCTGGTCATTCCTTCTCTGTCTCCTTTGCTAGCTGCTCTGTCTCTCCAGTCACTAAAGTCTGGAGTCCTACTGGGCGTTCTGCATCCAGGATCTTTCTTATCTCTCTATGTTCTCTCCTCAAGCAATCTCATTCACTGTTCTGGCTTCAACTGCCATCTAAAAGCCAATGTCCACAAATTCAGATCTTTGGCCCAGATTTCTGAGCTCCAGTACTGCAGACAGAACTTTCTTCAGGAGGTACCCATGTTAGGTATTTTGAAGTTACTTCAAACAGAACATAACGAAATCTGAAAGCATCACTATATTTTTTTCCAACAGAAACATGAGCATCATTGTTGGCCCTTTCACCCTCATCTTTAACCCCCACACCCCCAGTCCGCTGTCTTTCTGAAACAGCTGTGGGATCAGTAGACCTGTCTCCATCTCCTCCTCAGAACCCTATGCCTTCACTCTGTTCTCCTCCCTGAACTGGTATGAAATCTTCCAGATTGGTCTTCTCATACCCTCTCCTTTCCTTGCCTGTTCTATTCTCCACAAACTAGCCAGAGTGATGATTTTTCATGGAAATCTGACCTCATCACTGTCCTGTCTCAAGTGTCCCAGTGGTTTCTCATTGCACTTGGGAGGAAAGATCACATTTCTTTAATGGGGTCTACAAGGCCCTGTGTGACCTGTCCTTCACTCATCGCACCAGTATGATCTCTTTCTGTTCTTTCTCTACTTGCTCTCTGCGCTCCAGACACACTGGGTTCCTTGTTGTTCCACAAGTGTGCCAGGCAGTGCCCCATCTCAGAAACTTTGTCCATGTTCTTTCTGCTGCCTGAAATACCTGCTACTCCTTCTGTGACTAACTCAAACTTAAGTCTGCTCAAATATCACATGCTCTCCACCATGCACCTTCTCTTCCCCTTTATGACGATGGTAGCTTTGCCTGTTACATGGAACTCAGGCACAAGTTTGTGCTTTATTTTTTATATCACTTAAACAACTTGTAACGATAGCACAGTGTCAATGCAAATCTCAAAGTCCCCAACACCTAGCAACAAAATTCCTGGCACGTAAATATTTGTTAAGTGGAAGAAAGCTGCTTACATTAAACTTCTTTAACTAAAGACTAAAATTACTTTTCTTAAGTGTTTCTTTTGTTGCCATCATTCAGATTAATTATAGCCCATAACTGAAAATTATTACGGTGGCCTATTTAAAGTGAGATTTTAATTCTCCTCAATGACACCACATATTACAAAAACATTAGTTCTAGAATCATGCATCTAGGCTTAAGAATGAAGATTCCAGAGGTGCAGTTTGATGTTTTCTATGCTTTCTACTGAGGGAGGTTGTCAAAATATGAACCAAAATTTAAATGATAATAGAAGAATATGAGAAACTGATGTCATCTGAAAACATGTTCTGAATCCAATGCTCAAACACTCAGATAGGCAAAAGGATTCTGAATTGCAACACACCTTTCTTTTTCCCAAAGCAAATTACCTTGATTCAAAAGACAATAAAATCGCTAGGGGGAAAAGGAACAGATGCTCTTTTCGTTTCAAAAATCTTTCTGTCCCTAGGAAGAAAGCAGTTGTGTTCCTTCAAAAATTGTGTTATGTATGCAAAATTAATCTGAAAGTGTTTGCAATGAATATTATTCATGTAACTAACTCCGAAAATGCTATCGTATACAGAACTCATTGTATTTATTAATTATGATATTTATAAAAATGACACATTTGATTATAAATGTTGCTATGGTGACATCACTAGACAGAACATAGACATACTTCTGAAGATAGTTTGGATATTCATAATTTTCCAGTGCTTAAGTTTTGTCTGTGCTAAGGAGCATCATTTTTTTTTTACTTATTTTAATATTACTTATTTTAATATCCTCTAAGCAGATGGGGATATCATTGAAGTGCAGCATTTCTCCTACATATTAATTAGTAGCTCAATGATAATCAATTTGATTTTAAAATACACAGAATGGCATAAGCAACAGGTTTCTTTTCATTACATTTTTATATAATGCATTCAGCTAAAATTGTACCATCTTACCTTCCTCTGTAAGTAAATTATTTCTCCTTTCTATTTAATCTCGGCAAAACTAGATGAATTTTGTCAATAAAAGAATGTGAAGACTTTGATTTTGTCACCCAAATATCAAGTAAAATGAACCCCTTTGCTAATTATACGTTTGTTCTAACTTCCAATGCTACTTTTATTGAAATATAATTTTCCTATCATAATTTCATTACTCATTTTTTTTCTTCCTTTCTTTTTGAAATAATTAGATTGCCCAAGTTACTTATCTCCAAAGTAAAATCTATTCCATGTTGACAGACAGGAACCTCATGTCAGGAAGGTTTCTCACAGTGCGTGGTTAGTTCAGCTCAACCCACGAGCAATATTGAAAAATGATATATGACATATATCTTAATGACAGCAGAAAAATTGCACTGTCTTTATTTGCCAAGGCATTCATGCTCTTAATTCCACAAGGGTATTTTTAGTTTCTAGTAATTTGGAAAAAGGTGATAGGTGACAAAGTCAGAAAATAAAGTGTAAAAATATGGTGTAAAAGTCTAGCTACATGTAATACCTATAAAATGTATAGAAAAGCATATTTCCATTCCAATAACACCTGTGACATTTAGACGTTCAATAGAATTTCTGCTTTCAGTCATTGCCTGGATCATATGCTGATACTAGTTATCTCTAAATATAGTCAGAGACCTTTAAATAGTTGAATACTCAGAGGGTATATAGCACTGCAAATAGTAAAATTTTATGTTTTCTATTTTGTGGTATTCTTGTTTATAAAGTGATTAATAAAATTATAATGATATTTAGAAAATCTTTAAAATTCCAAATCAAACTTTAAATGACCACAGTAAAAAAAAAGACGAAAACTACAATTTTATAAAACTTTGCAATATATTCACAATCACCATGCCTAACAATAGTCTAACAATAAAAACTAGATTTGCACATACTATCTTCTGAAATAAACTTGCTTTTATGTAGATGAATAGGATCTACTCATCAACACAGCAAATATCTTTTATTTCCATTTAATGATCTCACTAGCATACAACAGACTTTCATTCACGTAGTTCACTACACACTTGTTATAGATTTTTTTTTTCCTGGCAACATTTATCTTTCCTGTTTTATGAACCAAAGGTATTTTACATTTTCTACCTCTTTTATATAAAATTCACATAAATAATTACTGATTTCAAAGGATCCTGGCAGCTGGGCACTTGATAACAGCTATTTTTAACTGATGTTAAAAGTAATATGATGGAAGAGCTGAAGCCTATTACAAAATAGCCTTCTCTTTCTCTCTTTCTCCCCTACCCCACCTCTTTTACTTGTGAATTTGCAAAGTGGTATTGCACTCTTGCATGCACAAAGCCAGAGAAAGCAAGATGCCATTGATTTACAGAAGTACTATGGCTATAGGCAGGGAACAGAAAAAGTATAAAGAGAGAAGGTAGTTGTTTGACAGTTTCTTAGAAGTTGTGTCTGGAAGAATGACAGGATGACTAGAAAATCAGAAGACGAGTTCCAGGAGACAGAGCTATCAAAGCGCCCAGCCTCACATGGACACTTACCACTGACGCATCTTTCCAGGAGGTTGCTCGTGAGCTTCAGGGTAGGCTGGCTATCTGCAGACTTTGCGTGCTGTGCCTACACCCCTTGGTTCTGCCAACGTGGTCACCTGTCCTTATAGTATTCTTCTTAGGGAGCAGCTCTTAACCTGGACAGAGAAGGGCATTCCTTACACAGGGACCAACAAATCACTATGATTGCACATGAGTCATTCACGTAAATTGAATTTTTACTGGTAATTCTTATATTTACACCTTTATAATTAGTCAAGTTTTCATTTTTTTTGGACAAAGATAAATAATAGCTAAAGATGATATAACTGTGCATTTTCAGGTGTACAATATTCACTAAAAGTATATATAAAACTTGGAAAACATTTGGTCGGCTATAGTTAAGCAGCAGGTCCATGAAGACCCTGGTTCTCATCTTGCCAGCTTTGGATTTAATTTTGTTAGGATATTCAAAGCATAGTATTCAAGACTACGGTGATCATGTACTTGGGTATATCTAGCCTGTTCACTTTATAACAACACATATTATGGAGTCTGGTAGAAACAACAACAAAAATTCAACACATGTAAAGGATTTTCCTTTATAAAATAATGGATTATATTATTACTTCTAGAATCCTTCCTCACTCCTGGAGCTCCTTTGCATTTTATGGCTACTCCGTTACTACAACAGTTCAGGCATCTTCTGCTCCCTCATTTCTTTTGCCACAGGGATGGTGAAATGATTTATCGGGTTGATGAATTTACAAAAAAAATCCTAAGTGACTTTAGGCCAGACTCTTCCTTTCTCTTTCGTTTGTGAGCTGGCCTCTCCTCAGAAAACATATGTTCTTTAATGTTTTCCTATCTGCCATAAGTGTATTCAGGGGCAGTGGGTGGAGGTGGTGGCTATAGTTGCATGAGCAAATTCAATTTAGGGGACTGTTAGTGATGGCCGACATCTGGTACCATGGTCATAGTCCTAGATCTCTACCTCACCAACCTCATCTTAACATGCACCATCCCACGCCAAGCAGAGTGGCTTTCTACTAATTCCTAGAGCATGCTGTACTGCTTGGTGCATTAGGGTCTTTGTACTGACATCCTCTGCCTGGAAGGCCCTCCCCTTTCATTTTCACTTGGCTGGCTCCTTTTCCCCTTTCACTCCTTGTTTGAATTCTACCAGCTCAGTTTGTCTTCTCAACCACCTCACTGAAATACCAGCTCTCCCTGCATTACTGAATACTGCAGCACTCTTCTTATTTCCTTCATATTTAACTCAATCTGTCCTTGTATTGTGGTTACTTTTTTGGTTTATTTTCCTCCACTCTCCAGAAGGATTATGGTTGTTTCATTAACTCCTATTTCAGAGTAAGTAGTCAACCAACATTTCCAGAATAAATATTTGAAAAGGCATTAGTAGACCTAGAATTTTAAAATATATTTAATTTCTGGGAAATATTAAGAGGGACATAATACTTTAAGATCATCCTGAAATGCCTTTGACATGAGAGTATAGGAACTACGGTGTTGAAATGATACTATCTTCACAGACTACACAAAACAATACCCAGAAAAAATGATGTTAGCAAGTAATAAGAAACCTGGAGATGAAGTATATAATTTACCACCATGTACTTGAAAAACTTTGTTGCACAAAGTAAAAAGTGTTCACAAAAATATAGTACTCACCGAGTATTATCAATAAATTCTAACATAAGAGACATTCTCCAAAGAATGCCACTTGGCTAAGTGGCAAGCTCAACAGTCAGTTGCAGCATGTTCTCTGGGAGACTGGTGTGCCGCAGGGCTCACACAATCTAAGATTTTGGGCTACTCAAAAAATTGAGAAGGGAAATTCTTCATCTGGGTTTCCTCATGAGCCAGATTTCTTGGTAGCGGTAACTGATGGTGGCAACAGCCTTGAAGACCATCACTACTGTGCCAATAGGATTTGGCTGCCTCAAAGTAGGGAAACATGATTCTTAATATGTCATAAGATGATAGGTTTTGGCAAATGGCAATTTACGTTGCAGATGAGTTTTTAGTAATTACATTTACCAGGAAGTGTTTTCTCTGCTTATAATGAATTGTATATTCCCTTGTAAACCTTCTCTACTAACGGGAAGAATACAACAGCAAAAGAGTTTCTGAAAATGAACACAATCTGAAAGTCATTACTGAGTCAAATAAAACTAAGTAAAAAAAAAAAGAATAGAGCCACATTTGTCCTCCGAGAGCATGATCTGCAGCTGTCTCAGAGGGCCCAACCTCAGATTCTTGGCTTTCCAGCACCACTGTCAGCACTAGGTTTGGGGACTTTTGGTGGCAGATCAGCCTTGGTCACAACAAAACGTCCAGCTAGTCCAGGCAGCAAGGTTTGCAGGAGATGCTAGACAAGCTAAAATCAGGTTGAACACTGCCCCAAAGCACTAGAATTTAGCCAAGGGACCCACAATGTAGGGTGGTTAAAAAGGAGCCATGTTGATATGTTGTGTACTTCTCAGTCTCTGGGTTCTATTGGGATTTGATGTGTGTCAGTTAGGGATGGGGTTTACAATAGGAGGCAGGGAAATTGCACGTCCAGGACAGTCTTGGGGTCTTGGAGTGTAACTCTCAACACATGCCCCGAAAATGTTCAGTTAAATTGTAGACCTGCCAACAGTTCATATTTTACATATGTTTGCATTATGAAGAACTTTAGTTATTACTAATTCAATGTTTCTGATAGTGTTACCAAAATAACAGTTATTAACAGATGGTGATTATATATAAAACATATAATAAAAAAATGAAATATATAAAAAATAAATATTTGTTATAATGTAAATATGTTTGTAATATAAATATAGATATTTATAATATTAACATATATATTTATAGATATATTTTTTGTCCTGAAAAAATATAAATATTCCTGAAAACAGTGAGAAATATATAACTCTGCAACTATGTAATTCTAGTTCTTATTGCAGCCTTTTTTCCTCAATGTTTTGGAGATTTGAATTTTTTTTTAAGAAAAACAACAGCTACATCAATACGATTATCAGCTCCCAACACAGGCAAAGCTTTGTGATATTAAAAAATACATGATATTTGAACTTGTTTCAGAGAATGTGTTATATTTCATTTCATTATTTATTTTTCTGGCTATATGCATGGGTGTACATGCACAGATCACCTTAATGTTCTTCATTTCCAACATGTTTGCTCCTTAAAGGATTCCTGCCAACAGAGTGAGTGTGGCAATGAGATATTGGGACTTTCATGTCATTCTCTGAGTTTGGGTGTGTCACAAACATGTAATGGAGATTATAGCTGAATAAATAAGTTAATACTCAACCTTCTAGAAATGGCTGTATTTAGCTTTTAGGGTAATGTTAACTTCACTGTCGTATTAGTAATCTCATCAACTTTTTGGTTAGGGATGGATAAATAACTAGCTTTTAGTATGTAAATTACCAACAAAAAACGTTTTGCAGAAAATGGGTCAGGTTAGAGATGTAAATGAGGCCTAAAATGTCTCATTAAGTTTTGAATTGCCTTTTTTTTTTCCCAAGCATTATAAATCTTGCAAGCTTTTGGGGTAATTTTCTTGCTTGAATAAGCTAGTAAGGTCTTTTCCAATAATAAATGAACTAAAATGCTTCTCAAAACTAATTCTGCTTGAAAAGATAGAACAAATTGAATATTAAAGTGTAATTTATTTTAAAAGTTACTCAATATTTCTGTTTCCTAATATTTTTAGATAATAAGTTGCACAGGCCACAAGTACAGATTCCATAATGGTCATAGTGTTTAGGTGTGGAGAGATTTCTCTATCAATGACTGTCATTTAAAATCAATTGTATATTTGAAGGCTGCTTATCAGATCTTGGGACAAATCATTAACTACAGAATATGAGTCTATCTTTTGTGAAGAGATGGATCTTTGATTTAGCAAAATGTCTCTCTGGTTCTCTTCTGACAAGTCCTATTTGTAACGTTCATTACTAATCCATATTTTCAGAACAAATACTATGCAAAAACATGATCTTGCTCACAGCACTGCTCTCGGGCCAGTTTCCATAGTTAAATGATAACTACAGATGCGAAAGCAAGGCGAAACTGCTTTAGATCTTATGAGACGCTAATAAAACAGCGTCACATTACAGTGAGACTGTCACTAGGCAGTTTCACACGTCTTACTTTCACCACATTGGTTTCTATTCTACAAACCACTAATTTACAGCAGTCTAAATTAGCCTCGTGTGACAATGTATGAAGTGTTTGTTGGTTATGCTCATCTATCACAGCATTGCCAATGTTTAGGACAGTTTGACATATCAAATTCATGACAAGGGGCTGAATTTTTGTCACTCTAAAAACTGCAAAAGTGAAATGGTAAATATGCAATTATGGCAACTACCTATATTTAACTAGCTTTAAAAAAAAATCTAAAAGTGAAATCAATCAACCAGTTGTCATCATTTGGTTTGTTTCTGGGTAGGGCCTAACTGAGGATAAACAAAGTTAATGATTGTGAAACCACATTAGGATAGCTTTCAGTTTAATTGTCAGCAGCAACCAATATCACCATTTACCACCCCCAAAGAAAATCAGCCCTTTCTAAAATACCCACTGCAGCATTTGTCTGTTCCTTTATACATTTACCTTAATATTTTGCTATAGCAAGCTTTCTTGCAGATCTTTACGAAACCTTTTACATTTTCTCTAAGCAGTCCAAATTATATCTACGTATTATCACATTTTCTTACAGAACAGATTTTATTGTTTCATTCATTTTATACATTAAGAAAAAGATAGGAGATCAAATTCTTCACAATGGCCTTTAGCTTACATTGGTATGTGCTGCCTTACTATAAAGTTTTACAGGTAAATAAAAGATGTTCTCACATGTTTTAGCAAAGGGAAGTGAAGGAAGTAACAGCAGATATTGCAGAGAATATTCAGGCTTGTCACAGTGGGTTAAAATAACAGGTGTTGGGTTGTTGTTTTATGTCATGCATTTTGATGGAAGGTAGTTACTTCAGATAGACAGGACAGATAATCTGAGAGAGAAATATGAGTCATGACATGTATTTATATGGTCTATATATTGCCATGTCACCTTTTTTTGCTCTCTCCAAAAATTCTATTATTACCTTCCCTAAATCTT